CTCCCTATTTGTCTGTGCGTGCGTGTCTCTAGAGCACAGTGAAGGGAAGAAGATGCTTTCCGCTGCCCCACCGGCGTATGATGTAGAGGCAAATGTTCTTTACCACAAGATTGAAAAACTTGACAAAGATCTTAAAAAGCGGGAGCTGCATCTTGCGGAGCTCATTGACGAGGTGGTGTACGCGGAGGACGGCAAAGACAAGGCCGTCCGCCGTGCGGAATCCGCCCGTTACCTCGTCAACCAGCTGGAGGGCATGGTGCAGAACCTGTTGGGGTACTTGAAGGTGATTGAGGGCGACATCCTACTGCCGGCCTTCCTGGAACTTTCTTGCGTTATGCCACAGGAGCCTCTCAAGAGCCGAGAGGTCATCGCCCAGACCCTTGAAAAGATCGTCGAGGACAGCCTGAGCTCGCGAACAAAAAAACTTATTGCCGCGGTGAGGGAAATTCCCTCCGAAACGAAGAACCTGGCGACACGTGAGGTCTTCATGCGCACTGTGGCGAAGGAGTCTGTAAGCGTGGAAGATGCCATTGTACTCAGCGGCCTGCTTTTGGAGAGGAAAGAGGAGCTCACAGCATTTATGGACGACTTGAGGGATCGTGTTCAATATATTCTTCAGGGCAATCGCTCCGAATCACCCGGAGAGGGAATGAACCGAAGTGTGGGGACAATCAAAAATGCCTGCTTTGATCATGAGGAGCTTCAAGAGAAATTGCGTCGCGTGGAGAATGAACGAGATGCACTGCGACAACAGATATTGTCCCGAGGTGAGAATACTTTGCGCATGAACCCCGCGTTTCAAGAGGAGACGGAGGCGCTAGGAAAGCAGTTTTTGGATTCCCGTTATTTGCTTTCAAAGGCGCAATCCAACTCCCAAGCAATGGGAGTGCGTGTGGAGGCCCTTGAGAGGGAAATTGAGGAAATGTGCCGCGAGAAGAAAATGCTACAAAATGAGTTTCAATTTTTGAAGCGTGACCAAATTAGTCGAAGCCGCTTCTATGCAGAGGAGCGACGTGTGGAAGAAGGATCAAAACAACTGAGGGCGGAGCTGGATCGAATTATATCCGAGCATGCTGTGATAATTGCAGCAACCGAGTCGAAGATGGCAGACCTCAGGGCGCAGAACACCATCCTCCTTACGGAGAAACAGGAGTACAAGCAGCATATGGATGACAAGAACCATCAGATAGCCAACCTGCAAAGGACCAATGATTTACTCCGACGTGAACTTTTTGAATTACAGCAGAAGATCTTGTCAAGTTCTCCGTCTTCCATCAAAAATGAGCACAGTGAATCTGTACAGGGGCTTGAATCCACCGTTGCAGGTCTTACAGCAGAATTAAATGCGTTAGAGCGCCGTTTGGCAGATGTATCTGCACGCAATCAAGAGGAACGTAAGCAGATTGTTGCTCAATATGAAGAGGAACGTAGTCGTTATAAGGCAGAGCGTCAAGAATGCGATGCCCTTGTCGAGCGGATGGCAAATGAGTTGGAGAAGCTTGCCATGGAAAACCGCTCCCTCCGCGCTGCCGCCACACTGCAACAACTATAGGCCACTAGTTTACCACGAACAACAAGCAGAGGAAAGGTGAGAAAAGTGTACCCACTGCAAGAAAAGGAACAACTGGAAAAAGAAAGAGGGTCTGAAAGTAATAATGCGTGAAGAAGCTTGTACAATATTATTGTTTCCGCATTTGTGTTCTTTTCCACCGTCTCCTTTCTTTCTATCGTCTACTTATCCTTTCTCCTTTATCATTGTCACTATTTCTCAGTTCTGTGTATGTGCCTTCCCGGGCTGCAGTCGTGGCGGCGAATGAATTTTCAACGACATTAAACGAAAAAAGAATTCAAGCCGATGCGCCTTCCACACCAGCAGCTCTCTGCCTCTTCTTGCGCCTATATCGCACGTGCAGAAAAAGATTCAGAAATAAAATAAGACACGATCCAATCACGAGGAATGCAGGGAGGAAGAGTGAAATTTTGAGAAGCGGACATACAAGAACACACATGGAGACACGCTGGAAAAAAAAAAAGGAATTTTTTTTTATTGTGTGTAACTTTCTTTGTGATTTGTTTTTACTGCTCTTTGCTCGTATTTCTTTTTGCCTTTTGTTGCTGTTTTTTATTATTGTTATTTTCTGTGGTGGGCTGCTTGTGTTAGCGCCACGGAACCCGCGACGGTCATAACGCACATCGTTATGGCAAGTGTCGGCCCGCGCCTAGCATGGCGTCAGAAGATACGAATTCATCTCAAGGCAATATGCCAGGCGGTTCCCATATCAATCCTTATCGTGGCGGAGGGGAGAGATTTGTACTATCGTGCAACGTGGCAGGTTACGGAGTTGCCACCGAGTGAATTACAAACCGGAGATGTGATTGCCATCTGCAACCGGTGGTACACACTACCTCGATTGGATCACATGCTGTACAGCCTGCTATCGAAGGTTCTGCTGAAGTCCACTTGGGACGATGTGGGTTTTGTTTGGGTGCAGGATGGGGTACCACATATTTGTTTTTGTGATTTTGAGGGGGTGAAGGTTTTAAGCATGGAAAGTTTTGTCGAGTCGCGGATGCCGCGTGGCATGGCTGTTCGAAAATTGACTGTGGACGATCCGCATGCGGGACGCACGATAATTTCATCGGTTGCTGCTCTTTTTGCAGTGGAGGCGCAGAAATTGACACCACACCCATGGTATCTTTTTTCCGCGAGTATGCGCCATGGGCAAGAGAATAAGTACTATGAGTTTATGGTGGAGATGTGGAGGCAGAGACGCAAAATTTATGAGATGGGGAAAACAAATGCATCCCCTCTCGCCATCAAGGGGCAGACGGAGAAACTACGGGAAATGGAAGTCATGCAGAAACATTTGGCCACCTTTCAAAAGCAAGAGACATACTTTCGTCTCTTTAATGGATCGTTAGTCGCCTCCTTTTTGGCAACGTTTGATCTCCTTGACAGAATTCTGCCATCACCGTCTCGGTATGTGCCGCAAGACTTTGCGCATGATTTGCCGTTCAAGCGGGTAGCAATGTTGGAGGAGCCGGTGGTGTTTTTTAGGAACTGATGCTGTTCGACCACTGCTGTTTGCTTCTCTGTATTTGCATTGTTACTTCGTTCCCTTTCACTTCATTCTGTTGTTCTCTGCGTCTCTCTCTCTCTCTGTGTGTGTGTCTGTGTGGTGTGATGACGCTCGCATCGATGGGGAGGAGGTTAGAAGAAGAGAATTAGCGATAATGAGAGAAAGAGATGGAAAGTGAGTGAGAGCGGTGTGGTATTTGTCATGTACTCACTACTGACTCCGTCTCCGCGCTTTTTCTCTGTTTTTTTTTTTTTTTTTATCCTGTTGATCATGTCCAGCAGAAACCGAAAGAAAAAGGGAAGGGGCAACGATGGTCTTGAAACCGGCCGGGGGTTTCTCGCAACGAAAAATGAAGCACGTGACGTTTGGATCTGTGAAAATCATGCAAGTCCCACGTCGTCAAGAGTTTACTCTGCCCACCCCGGTGGAGAGTCAGGCCTCAAGGGAGTTGCCCCTATTGGCTTCTCCAACACTGGAGGAGGTGAAAGAATCCCAAGGAATTGGAATAATGACACAGGATTCTGAATCTTCTTTGCTTCTTACTCAAGCTGCCTCAATTTACTCTTTGGATAGTCAGAATGATCTGTCCCCCGTTCCTTTTGAGAGGAGAGATGAGGAAGACGATGATCAATATTTGACTCCTGCCGCATGTACGCATGCCGTTATCTCTCCGACGCAGGCGATGTTATCCTTGGGTAGTGGCCCTCAATGTGCGTGCGACACTTTACCGGATCCTAGTTTAAACTGCACTGCTCCTATTGACAAGGCATCGGAAATTCTTGGGGGTTCCCCATTCTCTTTGAGTCCAGATTTTTCCCTCATTTCACTCAAAAGAAATAAAAGAAATGAAGATGATGCGATGGCGGCTGCAGGCTTCACTCGATGCCGCTCAGAGAAGGATGCAGCACCTCCTGCCACCTGTGTATTTTGCCACGGCGCCACTGGTGTCCTTAATCACTATGAGGACCATTACGTCCACTTGGGATGTGCCCTGTGGTGTCCAGAAGTGTACTATGATACGCAGGAGGCAACATTAAAAAACATAGATGCCGTATTGAAGAGGTGTCGAGACATTAAATGTGCTTATTGTAGACAACTCGGTGCACCCATTGGTTGTGTAAATAGTCGATGCCAAAGGAGCTATCATCTACGGTGTGCAGTGGACGCTGGGGCTTTCCTGGACGAGAAAAAATTTGAGCTTTTCTGCCCAAAACATAGAAACAGGCGCGATCAAACGTAGTTCTTTTTCTCTGCGTGTATTTGGGGTTTATGAGGCCTTCCACTTTTGGTGAGGACTCCCCGGTACGAATGGAATGCATTTGTTCGTAGTGATGTTGGTGTAGTCATTCTCTTTGTTGGGAGTAAAAAAGTATGGATAAGAGCAATCCCTTTGTTCTCTCTCTCTCTCTCTGTGTGTGTGTGTTGTTGTCATTTCCACATTTGTGTTTGTGGGGCGGATGCCTTTTCTCATCAAAAAAAAAAAGGAGGAAAAAAAAAATTAATGGTTTCTGCAGGCAACTTTTTGATTTTATTGACTGCTTTTTTTTGTTGTCGTTTGTTTGTTTTCTGTTGTTGTCGTTGTTTTTATAACCAAGAAGGAGGGCGAATGCTCGATGCATCTTTTATCAACAGTTCTTTGAAGAGCGCTTTGGGGAATGGTGTTGAAGCCGTTATTCTTCTGGATGGAAATGGCGTTCTGCTTTCTTCGGCATCGCTGAATCCGGAATACGTCTGTCAGAAGGAACACTCTATGATTGTTGCCGCCACGGGAAACGTGTGGCGTGCATGTGCTCGTAACGACTTGACGAAAAATAAACTTACAAATGAGATAGAACCGGAGGCATTGGAGCAGGTCCTGATTGATTTTGGTTGCAGGAAAATCTGCGCCATGTCTGTGGGGGGTTCG